ACATTATTCATGTTGTGCATATTTGTGACTGGTCCCTTTACCCCAAAATAGTCTTGCAGTTAAAATACTCACTTTTTTGTATTTGTCTTTAGAAATACATTTTAATTGGTCAAATACAAATGGGTAAAATAATAACCATTATTCTAAAGTGATTATATGAACTACAATGTTGGTTGGGAATGTCAAGAATACATCACACCAGTGCTTCATCTCCTCTCCTGAAACATGCATTTTAAGCTTAAAGCATCGTCCAGTGAAGCCTGCAGAGAGATGAAATCAAGGTGAGCTCTAGCGGACACACAGACTGACAGGATAACTGATGATTGATGAGGAGAATCACAATTCTGAGCAAGTTTATTTCAAATTATTTGATAAGAGCTGCTGCACTACAAAGATATTCTGCTACATATACATTAATCTACTCTTTGAGCTCATGTTCTTTATAGCACTGATGATGTCCCTTCGTATCACTGTTGGATCACAGAGACAATTTTGTTCCCCGGCTCTCGTTCTTGCTCTAGTGGGATTATATTATTTGATTATAAATCAAAAGCAGCTGGGATCTGAATAAAAAAACAAAAACTTTTAAAATAAAGCTGAGGTTATCTCCGATTTTGCTCGGCTACGTTAATGGTTACAGATGGTGACAGCGAGTTACTGGCTAACAGGCTCATTACTCATCTTCCAGGAGATTTAAAGTGGGGTGTCTTTATTCTTTATTCTCTAATCGGCATCGTCCCACACAAGAGAAAAAAATAGAGAGAATACCACATTAAGAGTGCTGAATTATTGATGCAATATTTTATTGTCTTTCAGTCAAACTTTTATTGACGTACATCATCAGATTTCATGAGCTTATCTTGTTTTGAATAAAATGTCCTCTGCAAAGTTATGTTACCTGGCAACAGCAATCAGATAAGAGCAAAAAGCACAGTATTTTGAAATATTGTGGTTAGAGGTTGTGAGTGGAAGTCATGGGCAGGAAAATCAAGTTCCTCTGGCTCCTCTTAGTGCTCTTAACGGCATTTGTGAGAATCCACCGGGCCTGAATGAAAACAACCAATCAGAGTCGAGAAAGATATAAAAACACTTTGGGTTGGTGGCTTGAAGATAGTTAAATGTTAAGTCTCATTCCTAGTTGGTATTTGACGATTTTGGGAATGAAACTCAACCACTGACAGTGTATATAATGGACAAAGCTTCTGGGTCGTAAACATGTCTTAAAACCTGCATTCTATGTAAAGGCCATGAGGGGGCAATAACACAGTGATACCATTCACTCTAATGGAGAAATTACCCAACTTCTCTCTTGATTTATGAGCTCATTTAACAGTTTCCTAACAAGTTTATGGTCTCAATCTCTAGTTTCAAGTCTTCTTCCATACATTAAGATGCTCATTTAGTAAATTACGGTCCAATTTAGAGTAAAATAGATGATAAAGCCACGTATGCTTTTGGGCATGGCTACCTTTTGATTCACAGGTCATTCTCAGTGAGTCCGTCCAGAACAGCGCAGGAAACTCAGATCAAACTGTAGGCAGCGCTGATGCTGATCAAACAGAAAGCAAGATTATGTTACTGCGTTATGATATCTCTCATAAAATCATTTCAGAAACATATTTGAACCGCCAATCAACAGAAGTTCTCAGGACACCCAGAGCAGTCGGTAGACCCGAACTCCTATAAACAAAAAAAAGTGAACTGTTATCGTAATACGAGATCGTGTGTGAATAGGTGGGCTGCCATTGTTTCCTGCTACAGGAAACCTGCTTCCTGCTGCCGTACTCAAGGCTTAAAAACGATACTCCACAAAAATGTTACGATAGGTTCACACTTGGATTGGTTGTTTTCGTTCAGGCCCGGTGGATTCTTACAAATCCCATAGGAGCACCAGGATTTCACATTTTATCTGTCTCGTGTACTAATGTGAGGATACAGTGAAAGTTTCACCAAATATGCAGCAAAAATGTTTTTCGCATAAAAGTTGATGCAGCTTTAATATTAAAGTAGATTTTGAAACAAACCCACAAGATATTTGTGGATACAGAGCAAATGTAGTGCAAACAGCAAATATAATAAAATAAAAACAAAATAAAAATATAATAGAAAGTTGGATAAAGTTAAAAAAGTGTATTTGTGGTCATCTTCATGCTTACATGCAGTGAACATGATGAACCCCATTGCAGTACACTTGTCACCACACACACACACACACACACACACCTACTATTGCACCACAGCGGAAGTGCTGGGAAACCAGGAACACACACACACACACACACACAGACAGAGACAGCAGTGTGTTTACGGACATGATCTGGCGGAGAGTCACCTGCTAACTCTCTCACAGCTAACCCACCACACATTCAGGGGGGAAACAAACAATGGGAGGGTCTCAAAGCGTCGAGATACCAGGTGGAGGCACTGAAGGATACCACGTCCTCAGAGTAAGAGCAGGTTTCATGTGCCAGCGTTTTGTGTTAGAGACCTCCTGTTAGCTGCAGAGCCGAGGAGGAGGAGGAAGAGGAGGAGGAAGGATGAGCTAGCTAATATCCAGTTCAGACGCTAAAATATATTCATATTAATGTGTTTATTAAGGGACAGTGGTGTAATTGGGCACCGGAGAGGTTTTCACTAATTTGTCAGTCAATTAGCAGATCGCCTGTAGCAGCTAAAGCTAATCTGTCAACACACCTGAGGAGGAGAGCTCAGTGTTTGTGGTGTAAATAACGCCCACACTCGTTAAGGTACACTGAAGCTGTCTTTTAGTTCTCATTACACACACTAGTTCATTTCTCAGGTGTTTTAATGGTTGTAAGATTCAAGCTCACGCTGTCGTTAACTGCATATTGTTTCTCCTGTCCGTGAACGCCTCTTTGGGAGCCTGCAGGATTTTGCCAGAAGAACCGGTGTGGTTACTCTAACGATAGCTGCATGCTTTGTGAAGATGGGTGTGTGCCTTCATTTTTAAATAAAAACGTTAACTTCTCCCACCCAACAATGAGTCTACAGACACTTTTAGTCCAGAGAAGAACTGTGGAGCAGTGGGTATAAGGCCCATCCAGCAGAGGATAAACCCTCTGTGCTGTGAACAGTGACATGGGATTGCATAGTTAATTCACCCCAAAATGGACCAGTGATATTTGCACATTGTCACTGAACCTCTGCAGCTGGACTTCAGGGAGTAAGGATCATTATGACATTAACATTAGACACAGGAGAGGTGCAGATCTTACAATCAATACTGACAACTACGTAAATATCTATTTTGAGTGAAGTGTTCCTTATCATCATGCAATCACTGGATCATGAAAACTGGACAACTATGTCAATGCATTAGTCCTCCTTGGGAGAACACTACTGAATGATGCACATTATATGTCTATGATTTAGATGTAGGTATACCCAATGCTGCTCCGTATACCTGCGTATACCCTGCACTACATCAGACTTTACCCTGATATATTCAATTTACTGTCATAGAAAACTAAGAAAGCCAACAAATATTCCCATTTGAGAACCTGTTAACTTGGCATTTTTGTTAAAACAATTAAAATATGAATTATTTAAATGTAGGGGGTACGCTGGCTTGGTATTTTCCTTTATTAAGGGTATGTTAAGGGATCGGTTATGGGTGTTACAGTATCTTTGTTAATGTAATTATAAAATACTGTGTTTCAACCATCAGTTCATTGTCATCAGTTGTGGAGGAAGCTGCTAATAAAAATAATCCAATTTAAAATTTTAGAGAAGTTAGCACGATAGCATCAGCAAACTCTTGTTTGTTAATTTACACAAACAAACAATAAATCATATTCACTAGTTTCACTACATATTTCCCCCTGCTAAATAACTACATTGTAAACTGTTGTTTCCTCTGTGTCAAGGTATGTGTCTTTGACTGAAGAACAAAGACCGTCAAACAGCATGCCGGAGGGCTGTTCCAAGTAGCAAGATAACCGGTTAAGTCAGGCTTATTACTGAAACTGAAACTTGAAACTGGATTGAAGTTACTGAATTCTTGCTTTCAGAATATCTTGGTCACAGTCAAAAAACTGAAAACTGCAAAGAAACAGAAAGAGACTATAATATTTGTTCAGGATTTCATAAGCAAAGACACATATCTGATACTTTAATTCAACTTCATTTAATTTATTTAAATATTATTCTTAATTATTCTATAGGGAGCATATTTCTCTAGTCACAGTTTTTTTCCTTCAGTGTTAGGTCAGTTTTCAAGATTTTAAAAGCATTTAGTTACCTTCACAGTTATGTGGATGTCATATTCCACCAAATCCCTGCCAATTGCATGAAAAGTGATGTAGATTCACGACTAAAACTGTGTGTACGCCTGATTCTGTTTCATAAATTGCAATCATTGTGGAACTCGAATGCACACGCGTGAGCCTCTTTCCCACTCCCACAGTCATAAATGGATGTAGAAACGCGCTTAAACATACTGTATGTTTGCATATCGATACTTAAGCCACATCACCACTCATTAGAGACGTCAATGAGAAGAACAGCAAAGAAGAAGTGCACCATGGGTAATGTGACATGGCAGGGCTATCCTGCTGGAGTAAAACTTTCAGAAGATGAGTAGAAGTGGCTATAAAAGGATGCACCAATACTCAGCTGCAGCATTTAAACAATGCTCCAATGGCATTGAAGGGCCTAATGTGTTCCAAGACAATATTCCCAACACCACAGTCACCAGCAGCCTGAACTGTTGACTCAAGACAAGGTGGATCCATGGATTCATGTTGTATATACAGATATTGAGGTTCATATTGAGGTTGACCAGAGGACGTTCTTTAAATCTTCCACTGTCTATTGTCCTGTCTTTATGATGCTGTATTTTACAGGTGCAGGAGAATTCCCCCGGTCACCGAGCAGGACTGGAGCCATTCTTCGATTTCATCATTTCCATCTGTGACACTAGACTGGTAAAAATACTATAATAGCACTAATAAAACCTGCTCTAGCTATTAGATCTGCTTTAGTACATCTCCTATAGTCTTATACGTGTTATGACAGGTGACTTGAATGTTGTGATCTTTGACAGAACAAGGACAATGACACCCTAAAAGAGTTGCTGAAGATGAACGTGGAGAGGCCCATCAAGATGCTGTTGTACAGTAGCAAGACGCTGGCAGTGAGGGAGACAACCATCACGCCCAGCAACATGTGGGGCGGCCAGGGGCTTCTGGGGGTCAGCATTCGCTTCTGCAGCTTTGAAGGAGCCAACGAAAATGTTTGGCATGTCTTGGTGAGTGTCACCATCCTGAGTGGTTATTACATGTTGTTTTGATATGATTACAGATTTGGCTAAATATATTTGGTGTATTTTATACATATTGCATACAACTCCAAATTGTGGTGTAAAATAATATGGGTTTTTATTTGTTATTGTTATTGCTTAATATGCTTATACATGTTGTCTGAGTCCAGGAAGTGGAGCCAAACTCTCCTGCAGCCCTGGCTGGTTTGAGGGCCCACGCTGACTACATTATAGGAGCCGACACCGTCATGAACGAGGTACTTGCTTTGCGGATTAGTAGCAACGCTGGCTTCAAGTTGGCAACAGGTCAACATGCCGTGTATATCTGCTCTTTCTGCAGAGTGAAGATCTGTTCTCCATCGTTGAAACCTATGAAGGGAAGGAGCTGAAGCTGTACGTTTACAACACAGACACAGACAACTGCCGGGAGGTGGTCATCACACCAAACTGTGACTGGGGTGGAGAGGGAAGGTATGACAGTCATCAAGGAAATCATCTGCCTGAGTTTGACTTCTGTTGCCAGTTGAAAGCCATGGATGTTGGTATGACATTGTTTTACACACACAAAATCTGGTGCTCAGCCTCTGCTGCACGACTAACTCACACTTCCAATTCACTTAGGGTTATAAATATTGTTTTTTTTTATGTTTTATACACATTCAGTCCAGAATTAATATTCAGTTTAGATTTGGTAGTTATATTATCCCCTCTACGCACAATGGTGCATTTGACCGTGTGTGTGTGTGTGTGGTGGTGTGGTGTTGTGTGGTGTGTTCTGGTGTTGTGTGTGTGTCTGTGTTGTGTGTGCAGCAAATCTCACATACTGGACCCATAAACCTCATAATCTTTCATGTACATTATGACTTTAATGACTCTCTCATGGTGCAGTGATTCACAATTTTTGAAGAACCTACTTTATTGACTGCTCTGTTTTATACCACCATTGACTGTTGACTTGTCACTCCTCTAAACCGGCCAGTAGGGGCGCAGCATTCACCATTAACAATATGCATTATGACATAGCAAAGAGCATTGATGGCAATCTGCTAGGCTAAAAATAAAACTTACTTTCTTACATTTTGGCCTTTGTTGTGGCTCAACAAAAGTAATCTGCAGATTAATTTGATACCCAATATGTTATAATCCATCTAAAGTTAGGCACAATATGAGATGAATTGTTATCTTCACCACCATCTTGTATTCTCAGAGTCCTGCATTTATAGATGACGTAACACATTAACACATGATGCACGTCGGTAGAGTCCGTGTATTTGCGCCACAGACTCAGTTCAGACCCCATTGTTCTGTCATTGATGACTGTAATCTTGATTCACTGCAGAATCATTTCAAATTCTTCATTTTCAAGAAATGCCTCCACATCACACGCTTTGAAAAGTAGAAACTAGAAGCTCATTGGACCCTCGACCTCTCTACAAACAGATTACATGTAGATGTCTTTCTCTACACAAATAAACGCACAATCAATCAGTAATCTGTGGCACGAACGTACAACATCCATACATTTTCCGGCGAAGCCTACAACCAATCATAATGTGTTAATGTGTTACATCATCTGTAAACGCCTGCCAGGCTGAGCACTGGGACACACCTGGCAGAGATCTACACTCTCCTGAGTGCACTCTTCTTCTTTAGTTTATTTTCAGTCATTTTTAGCATTTATAGCATTGTTCAGGACAGGATTTTTTATATTTGCGATGTAATTATGATTTAAATCACATTAATTATTACTTATTAAACAATTTAATTTGATCCTCAAATTAAACAAAGAAACTAGAAACAGTCATTTTGTTTGGTTTTACTGCATTTTATATTTATAAAAACTTACGACAATGTCTGTTATGTTTTAGTTTCAGACCCCCTTGCTGTTCTCAGTAAATGTTAAATGGAGTCCAACTGTCAGCAACAATAGCATTTTGTGAACACAAGTTTAAAGTCAAGTCTTGCCATTCGGAACCCCCTCAGAGTGTGAGGTTGCCATTTCACATCATCTTTAAGGCTACTGTGAAATGTTTTGACCTTCTGCCCTCACAGTATTTCTGTCTCTTCAGTCTAGGATGTGGCATTGGCTACGGCTACCTGCACAGGATACCTACACTGCCGTTTGCAGAGGGCAAGAAGATCGGTTTCTCCGCTCGGACTCAGAGTGAACCGGCTCCTCCACCTAAAGATGGCTTCACAGAGGTAACTCAACTCCTTAAAAGAAATAATTGCATCCAGACAGAAACATTATCATGCTGTCATGTAGGCTGCAGATGTTGTGAACATTTATTGAGATGAGGTTAATTTTGGTTACCAGGTCGTCCTCTCTGCCGTCATTCCAACCGTCCCAGTTGCCGTGTCCTCTTCTGCATCGACTGGATTAGAGCAGTCTCTCGCCGGCTTGTCAGTCAACTCTAACCCGACCGCTGTCGTTAGCAATCTGCAGACAGGTACACTATCATCCCTGTTAAAAATGTCCTGTCTGAACTGATGTGACCTAGCTATCGAATTAGCAGATTCTGTAAAGAGAGAAATTCTTGATACTTGGTTAGACATCAGATTGTTGCTTAAAGAACTAAAATAAATACACAAACCAAGAGAGAGTTAAATGCCCATATTCATCATTGTTCTGGTAACATATAACACGGTCAGTAACAATTGGGTTCAAAGCATTTTCAGGAGCTCCTACGGCCCCACTGACGAGCCAAGTCCCCTTCTCACAAAGCGTTCCCCTGTGTGTCAATCCTGCTGCCACACTACCAGGTTAGTAGATATTATTTTAGGTTTGGTGCCAAAGTCCGCTATTCTAGCATAGTCTAATATACATAATATTTGTTGCACAGGTTTAATGCCCCTACCTGGAGGTCTTCCACCCTTTCCTAATTTACCAAATGTAAATATCACCTTGCCAGATGTGGGCCATGTATTGCCATCTGGAGTTTGTGGATTACAACATGCAGGTATTGTTTTGTGCTTGGGTTACTTTAAACAATCTTTATTCTTAATCTGTTGTTCTAGATTATTCTTTTAGTCCACAAATCCCATGAAAAGAGCAAAACCAAGGATGAATTGTGCCATAGACCCCCACAAAACTATTCAAAACCCATCACTGTTGCACATGCAGTGACATTTTCCCTCAGAGATGTACATGGGCAGTATATTCTGATTTAATCCTGTATACACCATCTCACTGCTATAAATGCTCAGTAATCTGAAATCTATTACTCATTTGCTAAGAATACAATGACCAGTTGTTATAGACTATTACTAATTGGTGGTGTTACTTAAATTAGATATTTCTTTACTGCTTTTAAAGACCTAATGTCCTCGGTAGGAACAAATGGACTTCTGGTCCGGTGCCACAGACAGGGTGGGGAAATTGGGAAGTAGACGACGTACTAATGCATTGTTGGGTTTGGACTCTTAGTGGGATTTGATGCCAGTAATAGAAGTACAGATTATCTCCAGCTCCATCCTCAAAAGGTTTTTAGAAATAAATGTATATGCTGTATTTTTTTAAACTTCATTAAACCGTTCACACCTATGCAGTAGAAGATAACAGTTTTAAGTTGGCGTTGTGCTCCACAGGTCTTCCACCTCTCACCCTGCCAGGCGTGGCCCCCGGTGTAACTCTGCCGCCGTCTGACTTTGTTCTTCCCCCAGTCAGTGCCAATGCAGCTCCTGCTGTTCGGCAGAACACCGCATTTCCCTCCTCCACTATTCAAATGAACAGTATACTGACTAAAAGCCCCGTCCCATCATCACCAGTGGCCGCCTGTGAATCAATAAATATCACAATGACTGCAGACTCATCTTAGCAGAGAGGACCAGGTTGTCAACTTGCTCTTAAGTCTTTACACAACAAAGCAACTCTCTCGTACAAATCTCGAGGTTACTGGAACTGTGTTTTCCTGTGAATGTGTGTCAGGCAGCATCGCAGTCCTGCATCTTAAGAACAGTTTGATGGCAGAAGGAATGTTACATGGATCATGCAAACAGAGTTCATTTATACAACCTGTAGAATACCAGTTAAATAGTTCACAACTCAATCATGGTTATAGCTGTACTGACAAAAACGTTGTAGGATTTTTAATCTTGGCTCAAAAAGAGTGTAAGATATGTGGGAAACAGGTTACTTTTAAGTGTTCAAGTTAGTATCTTTGCAGCTTTCTTTAGTGGTCTAACTACTACGGAGCCCCTGAAGGGTCATGATGGAAATTTCTTTCAACTTCTTTTGCACTCCCTCCACTAATAATACACTCCTAGTTTAGGGAAACGTGCTGAAAGGAGAAATGATCTGACACTTTACATTATCAATTCATTGCTCATTACTCCTTTTAAAAGTCCGAGCTCTGACGGTGAACATCCACAGATGTGTGAGCACAGCTGTAACTGCTCTGCCTGGCTGTAAATATGGTTATTGCTCGGACTTATGGTGGTTAAATCTAGGATGCTGTGGATGTGGCTACTATGACTACTCTTTATTGCTCCTAATAACATTAGCCAAGAAAGCATTGTTAAGCCTCATGGGATTTGAACTCGCAGTGTTTCCGTCAGACATGAGATGTGTTACCAATACACCACAGGAGGAGAATACAGTTTAACTACAATGCTCAGGCAGCACAACGCCCACAGAATATTATTACTGAATATATACTATATAATAATACAGCCTTTCTCTGTGAATCAGAGGTAATGCTAAAGAGTGTCAATGTGGCCTTTCAGTAGCTCTACACTACTGATGGTCTTCAGGGTCAGACGGGGCAGTAACTTATACTACTGGGGATTTTCCTTTAGAGAAGCAGGTTTGCCTTCTGCAGTGCAGTAGTTATTAAGTATAACGCTTTTGGTTTTGTAAAATAAATGATTTGTAAAGTGACAAATTGTTACCTTGATTAAACTGATGTATTTTTACTATCTCAGCGTCTGCTTTTTATTTTTATGCCCCCCCTCATGTTAAAAATGATGTGAGCATCTTTTGTACACCTGCAGTACCGAACAGAGCCACTGAGTGCCAGTATAATCTCAGAGATTAAGACACATGCTTGGCAGATTGCATTGCTAAGATTTACAGCATGTATTATCAGGTGATAAGCATAGATGTTCACTTTAGAATGAACAGGCTGATATATCTCACAGTAACATTCACTGGGAGAGAAAAATGTTTCCTGGTATTTATTATTCACTCTTTGCAGAACTGTACAATCTGTACCCGAAGTGGAACATACAGCCCTTGAAAAAGTAAGAGCAACAAAGCAGCAAAATGAAACACTCCAAGAGACTAGTTTTACATGGGGAAATTTTAACTCTTTACACGTTACTGCTGCAGTTCAAAATTTGAAAATTCACCTGTACAGAATATACAGTTTCCAATTTATCTGTTAATTAATATTCCTGCATAGGATTTTATACATTGTCATTTTTCTACATTTGGTTACTTTGTGCATTAAAACGTAAGTACGCTGCCCCAACCTACAGGTCACTAGATGCCACTTGTATGCTACACATTACATTCTCATGGCTAAGTAACTCAAATTAAAGCCTAACATTTGTGAAAAACAAAACATTTAGCCAAATCAATAGTAAAATCTTTGTAGTTCTATATAATGATGACTGTCCTCTCCTCACAGTAAATTAACTTCTAGCAGCTGAATCATTTGCACCCTGGCAGGACCATGTTATTTAATCTAAACGGCGGGCTGCCAAGTCTCCCTTCGGCCCTTTAAGGCTTTATCCATCTGCAACATCTGAACAAACTGTCCACTCACATTTTCTTCAAGGTACGCTGTCAGTTTCAGTGCTTTTGTCAGACCCTAAAAAGATCCTTTTAAAAACATAACTTCACTGTCCCTCCATTGATCAAGCCCTGGTGAACAAGGAGAAGCCTGTCACAGGTCAGGAGGCCAGGTGAGCTCTCCCCACCGGTGTCCTGCTCTTCCTGTTGCTGGCTGTTCCTTCTCCCACAAGCCCGAAGCTCTGCAGGTGGGGAGCAACTTGGTCAGTTTGCCAGTTTTTTGTTTCTTTTTGTTGTCACAGTACAAGGCTGTCAGTATGAGATGATACTGGAGGAGGCGAGTCCCGAGCTAGCAGGACTCATCTGCAGATTTCCAGAGGAGCTTGACCTCCGCATGTGAGGGAGCAGGTAGGGGTCGCTTCCCATCTGGTGAACGTCGATGCGGTCCTCCTTCCTGTATGCCAGACAACGCCTTATGAAGGCCTGGAGGGGGGGGAAGAGATGGTATAAATCCATTTCATTAGTGTTTAAGATATATTTTCTTTGATAATACAAAACCTAGCTGTGTCCCTTTTGTATGCAAGCTGGCCTACCTTTGCTTCATTACTGGCAACCGGCTTCACAGGGAACTGAACATCGGTAGCTTTCAATATGGTGTTCTCCTGCAGGATGTCTTGCTGTGACTGATTGTGGCCAAAAGGCTGAAAAAGAAGGAGCAGTGCTTAATCATCATACAATAAATGTAATTAATATACAGAAAAATAAACATTAGAATCGGTATTGCCCTCCTCACCTTCCTTCCATACAGACACTGAAAAAAGATAATGCCCACAGACCACACGTCCACCTTATTGGAGATCTTTGGAGGTTCTTTACCAACCACAAAACATTCAGGCGGCAAGTACCTAGCCAGAATATAGAAAAAACATAGAAAAAACATAGATTAGTGTCTTGAGTCAATGTGCTTAGTTACCAAAGTACTGTAGTAAAGTACAATTTCAAGGTACTTTAATTTCTATTTCATGCTACTTTACTTTTTACTCCACTACATTTAACAACAAACATAACCAGTAATTTTACTTCAGATACTTGTTGATTGAACTTAAAATCTTTACTGCATTGATACTTAAGTGAATGAACACCTCTTCCACCACTGTCCGTATCTTTAAACTGTACAGTATGTGATGTATGTATGCACAGGGCGTTTCTTCTCACCAATACGTCCCTGCACCCTGGGATGTCAGGTCCATCCCATCTACGCCGTAGTTGTCGTCATCCATGATTTTGGATAAACCAAAGTCAGTGATTTTGATTTCCCCGCAGGCTGTGCCGTCCACCAACAAGATATTGCCTTAAAATCAAAGTAGAATATATCAGCGCTAGAGAAGAAATGGCATACCACCACTTGGATGCTTCAGCCCACAAGATAACCGACAATCTGATTTAATGTAGAATAACGGATGTTTTCTTGAACTGATGTGCTGAGTCGTCGGTGGTCTAGAAGGTTGTGTTTACCTGGCTTAAGGTCGTAATGAATGATGGGGGGTTTGATTTCATTCAGGTATTTTAGTGCGTTCACAATCTGCATGACTATCGACCGTGCCTCCTTCTCAGACATTAGCTTATGCTGTTTCAAGTAGAAATCCAAGTCATTGCCTTCGCAGTACTCCATGACAGTGCAAAACCTATTGGATGGGAAAAAAAGACTTACTAAGAATAATGACACGCATCTAAAAAGAAACCAACTGAAAAGTCCTGGAAATGCTTGAACGAGAATTTCTTCAAGTGCACTAACGTGTCTGTGTCCAGTGAGAAGTAGTCGTAAAGTTTCACGATTCGGGGGTGGTCCAGCTCCTTGTGTATTCTGTACTCTCGACAAGCGTGCCTGTGTAGAGGAAGGGATGATTATGCTTTTATTAGCAACCAAGGCATGAATGTACAGGTGCTGTATTCTGCACTGACAGTCCAGCATTGGGCTTATGGAGAGGAATAACAATACACTGAAAGCAAAGGGCATCAGTGCAGCTCGCACGTCACAACATTTGAAACCCTAATTATAGTATACTGCAGATATTTCCACAGGAGCCAACATACTTGTGATAGTTCTCCTTTTTCTCTTCTCTCCAGTTCTTGTTAAGTTGGTGGATTTTCACAGCAGCATATCGTTGCTCAATCAAGTCAAAAGCCTGCACAAAATATGCACAAAAAGGTGGCTTATACTTGAAAAACAAAACATGGTAACAGTATTATATTTCGTTTTGTAACTTAAGATCAGCATTTAATGACTTACCTTGTAAACTTCACTAAAGCCCCCTCTTCCTAGAAGGTGTAGGAGCAGATATCGTTCATTCAACGTTGGGTGGTCTTTAAATCTGTGAATGGAAAAAATATATAAATCAAAATTACAGATCTAGACTTATGTGTGAATGACAAATTCTCCAGCAATGTGGGAAAAGACGAGAAAACTTCCTTCAGTAGGTGGTTACTTAATATCACCACTATATACTGAGGATAGTGGCCTTGTGTGCACACCATGTTCCAATGCCAATGCAGTAACTGTCAAAGAAATTGATTCAGACTCACTGTGAGCTGTCTTCATTATTTATTCTCTTCAGCTCCCGAATGTGAAGGTTGCGCACTCTCTCCAGACGCTCCAGCTCCGCCTGGATCTCAGCTTCTTCCTATAAATGATTCAAATGCACAAACACACACACAAGGAACTTCAGAGCTCTGACTACAAGGAGAGGAGCTCATCAAAACCCACTTGTACACAGCTGACTAGTTCTGTATTAAATATTAACGGTTGACTTGGTACAGAGTCTGTCAGGGACTGTCTGTGATGCTTATTCATCGGGAAAACAATGAATACATCGACGAACTACAGGCTCACTTCATCCTCGGGGTGATTCACACAAAGGGAACAGCGGTTCAGCTCAGGAAATAGAGAATCCGGCTGAATATGTTCAATTATCCGCATATAGAAGACAAAGATTTGCTACATTTAATAATTTACCGAGTCCAATTAGGGTGTAACTTCTAAACTGTGTAAAAGCGCCCTTGATTCTTCTTCTTATTTCACATTGGGCCCTGGATTGACTTACTTATAAAATATATTAAAACACATAAAAAAAGACAAATCCCCCACCGAACAAATTAAAAAAATGTTCTCATTAAATGTTGCTGGGGTTCAGCATTGGACTAACCTTCTTGAGATGTCCAAGTCGCAGTTTGAAGATCTCTTCCTGTTCATGGTATTCTGCTAGTGTCAGCCTTTCCAGGACGAGAGCGATATGGGAAAGAAAACATTTGCTTTTGTCAACAGAATCTCTGTGTTTACTTAGATTAGTACATTCTGTTGTTCTCTCACTGTGCATACAGTCCTTAAACTTGCTTTGCAACAGCTGAGCAGGCAAAAAAGTGAAAGATTTTTATATACTGCCTTTGATGGGTAATGGCTGCTTTGTTAGGATTTACAAGAGGAAGTGAACGTACAGCTGAGGTAGGCTGGGTTTTAGAAAGGGATCACTTTCTGCTCCATTCACTGCCTTGGTTTTGCGTTGCTTTGGCTCAGAGTTTGTGGTTGGTGCTTGGGAGTTGCTGGATGATGGAGGTTTCCTCTTGGCTAGAAGTTTTCTCTGCCTCTCGATGTCTTCTCGCTGCTGATTTATCGACTCTTGCTGTCTGCAGATGGAAAGCATTATTCTTTGTTAGATGAGATTACCATTTCCATATCTGTGTTCCACAACAACATCTTATCAAAGCACTTCATTTAGCACCATGTTAGAGAGGATCAACAAATATGGAAGCTATAGTGGGGTGATGGTGGGGCGCTCCACCCAATTACACTACAGCTGAGTTCACATGCAGATTTCCAAACTCTAAACTATTATAGCCTACGCATCAAGTCTCAGGTAGGGCTGCAGCTAATGATTATATTAGTAATCAAGTATTCTAGCAACAGAGCAATAGTAAATATACAGATTAGAAAACAAGACATGTCTCTTAAAATGAAAAATTAATTGGTTTCCTCTAGGATTTTATCAGCAGTGGGCGGAAAGGCTTCTCTGGACACGCTCACTGTGGAGTATTTGTATTTGTTTTGTTTAAGGAAACAATCTAATCCTTCTTCAACCTCTGTAGGATACCCACAGCCCCTTAAGGCAGCCGGAGTCTACCGGGTTTCTTG